ACTTGCAACGATTCCATGCGTCAGCCTCTCTAGTGCTGGCATTACAAGCATGCACCACCATGCCCAGCTGAGTATAATCTTTCGCTGAGTTGCATTCTGTTTCCCAGTATATTATTGAGGAATTTTGCATCTATGTTCATTAGGAAGATTGACCTATAGCTCTCTTTTTTGGTTGGATTCTTCTCAGATTTTGCTTCCAGGAATGAGTTTGAGAGCACTGTTTCCCTTTCAATTTCACTAAAGAGTTTGAGGGATACTGGCATTAGATCATCTCTGAATTTTTTATAGAATTCAGCAGTGAATCCATCAGGACCTGGGCTTTTCTTCATTGTCAAGTTTTTACTTACATCTTCAGTTTCATTGACTATTGAGTTATTTAGAATTTTTCTATATTCTCAACTCAGTTTTAGTAATCCATATGCATTTAGGAATCTGTCCATTTCCTCTGTGTTTTCCATCTCATCAGAATACAGGTTCTCAAAGTAGGTACTGACAATCTTCTGGATTTCTGCAGGATCCATTGTGATTTTGTGCTTTTCATTCCTAATTACATGGATTTGAGTCTTTTCCTCATTTTGATAGAATTGGCTAAGGATTTGTCTATTTTATTTAATCTTTCAAAGAAATAACTCTTCAATTCATTGTTTTCTTAGTCTCAGTTCGATTAATTTCTTCTCTGGCCTTTATAATTTCCTCCCTCATATAAGTTTTGGGTTTGATTTTATTCTTCTTTTTCCAGTATGAAGTTTCAGATTTGCATTAGGTTATTTACTTGAGCTCACTCTATTCCTGATATGAGAGTTTACTACTATAAATTTTCCTTATAGTACTACTTTCCTTGGGTCTCATAAGTTCCTGTATGTTGTATCAACATTATTGTTTAATTGCAGAAACAAATTTCATCTTTAATTTCATCTGTGTCTCACGGGTTCTTGGGGGGGGTGCTATTCAATTTCCACGTGTTCATGCAGTTTTTGTGTTTATTTTGCCTTTGATTTCCAATTTCATTGTACTATGACCTGATAATATGAATAGGATAATTTTAGTTCCTTTTCATTTATTTTAAGTATGTTCTATGAGTTTAGGATATGGTCTATTTTGGGGAATGTCCCATGTATAGCTGAGAAGAATGTATATTATGATGCTGCGGGGTAGAACACTCTGTAAACATCTTCTAAGTCCATTTGTTCACAGGTTTGGTTCAGCTCTGACATTTCTTTCCTGATTTTTGTTTTTTGTCTAGTTGATCAGACTATTTGAAACAGTGGGGTACTGAGGTCCTTCATAACAATTGTGTTGATGCTTATTTGATTTTTCATGTCCTTTAATTTTTTTTATATACATGGGTGGGCTAGTATTTGGTGCATATATATTTGTCACTATTATCTCTTCCTCCTGGAGTTTTCCCTTAACAAGTGTGTACAGATTTTCTTTGTCTCTTTGAATCAGTTTTGGTTCGAAGCTCACTTTGTCTGCAAATCGAATAGCTACCCTTCTTTTTTCCAGGTTCGTATTCCATGAACTTTTGTTTTCCATCCTTTGGTTTTCAGTTTATGCATTTCTTTTTGAGTGCAATATGTTTCTTGTAAGCAGCATAATGTGGACTCTTGTTTCTTGATCCATTATGCCAATCTGTTTCATTTGATTTTTGAACTGCGACTATTCATACTGATGTTTATAGCCAATACCTATTGGCTCATCTTTTTTTTTTTTTTTTTTTTTTTTTTTTTTGTCTTTTTCGTTTTTATCGGTACCAGGGATCGAACTCACGACTGCCTGCTTGCAAGGCAGGCGCTTATGCCGCTGAGCTAAATCCCCAGCCCCTTATTGGCTCATCTTTGTCACATTATTTCCTGTTGTTGGTGCCTTGTCTTTCCCCTCTGTTTAATTGCTTACCTTGCCTGGTAGATTCCTTTCCTTAGTGTTCTTGGAACTGTAGTCTTTGTTATTCCTTTCTAAAAAATCCTTCAGAATGTTTTGAAGAACTAGTTCAGTGAGCATGAATTTCTTCAGTTGTTCTTTGCGATGATTTGATTTTGAAAGATAGTTTTGTGAGGTACAACAATCTAGGTTGGAGATTGTTTTCTTTCAGGGTTTGAAATACTTCACTTCAAGCTATCCTTGACTTAAGGGTTTGTGTTGAGCAGTCTGCTGTGATTCTAATGGGCTTTCCTTTATAGGTGATTTGTTTGTCTTCTCTAAGAGTTTTTAACGTTCTAATTTTGGGCTGAATTCCTGAAATCTTGAGTCTCTCAGATAAATATAATACTTCTACTCAATAAAAACTCTCCAGAAATAGCAATTTGACTTTTACCAGCCAGTTATAGATTATTCTAATAGGAGGAACTTCAAACCAAATACTAGGGGAAGAATTTGCTGTACAAGTTGGTGGATGGGGTAGGGGGTAATAATTTGGGAGCACATAGGATATCATGTCTTTTAAAACTGCACAAGAGCTACAAATATTCTCATTTTGAGTGAATGTCTACAGCTGCCTCTTAGATATGAAGAATCAGGAAGATACTTTTTTATTATTCACGAAGAAAGAAGGTACAAGAGAAGATCATTATTCAATGTCATCTACTGCACAAATTTCTTTTCTTTTTCTTCATCTTTTTTCCCTGTTTGTTTGTTTTGGGTTTTTGTTGTTGTTGTTGTTGTTCTTTGAGATAGGATTTCACTAGGCTTAAACTCACTTTGTAGCCCAGGCTGGGCTCAAACTCACAGTGCTCCTTCTGCCTCAGTCTCCTGAGTGCTAGGACTGCACACAATTTCTTATTTATTTATTTATTTATTTATATTTTGAACCCAATTTTTAACAGATACAGAATGTCAAAACAAAATGATAGGAAATTAACAATGTTTATTATATTGCGTATTATCTTCAAAATAGTTGCTCAGACTACCAGATACCAACATGCAAAATTGATCAAACAAGATAAGCACTAACTGTTCCTTTCAATGAGCTAATAGACTAAGTAGTACAATTATCTTAACTATCTTGTGGATATATATATATATATATATATATGTGTATATATATATATATACACATATATATATATATTCCCCCCTTCCTTCTTTTCTCCTTTCCCCATCACAGTTGTTCTTTCCTTTTGAGCAGTTTCTTTTCCTTTTACAATATTTATTGTACATTTGGATCTTATAAAATCATTTGTACTCTATTTTAAATTGTCTTAATCACATAACTGCCCTTGTTATGGAGCTGAAGGATTGCATCCTTTGGTTCAGTACAAGGAGTTGAGATAGGAACATGATTAGGCTTGAGTAGGACACTGATTTTAGACAGGTGAGCTGGGTATCAGGAGAACCTAAAAAGCAAGGGAAATAGCATGGAGGAAGCAGAAAGTAACAAAGTTATACAGTTATTTAGAGTCAACTATCACTTTGTTTTCATACTTGGTCACAAAGAAAATATCAATAAAAATGATGGGTCGCCATCAATGTGACTCCAATGTGATTCAAAGACCAGGACATCTCTCTGTATGTCATACATGTAAACCTTCCTGAATGCTGAGTGAACAGAGGACTGAATAATAGGCTGAGAGCAGAATGTCATGTCAAGACCTTTTGCTTCTTGGAAGATTTCTGCGTGTGTTAATATTTTATGAGCATCTTCATTACTCAGTTACTTAAATTACTCCATTGTCAATTGATATCAAAGGTCAGTAATAAGCTCCTACTTGTGAAATGCAATCAGATTGTATTTTTAAACTTTACCTTATTTTATTTTTCTGTTCCATTTTACATGTTTGGCTACTTATTTTTAATACTTTCAATTCTTAAGTCCAAATAACCACTTGTGCTCAATTGTTCTGATGGCTTCTTCTTGCTCTTTCCTGTTTCGTTGATGTGGATTGCTGCAGTGCTCAGTTTCTTTCTCTTACCCATTTCTCTCTGCAAGTGGCCTTAGATACCTCCTAATTTTAACTACCATATCCTAAACTCAGTATTATGAAAACTTTATCTTGCCCAAACCCTTCCATTAACTTCAGATATTGTTATTCAAATGACCAATAAAGATGTTCCCTTAAGTGTTACAAAGTTAGTCACCATAAACTTAGCAGAGGGGAAGTTGCATTCACTGATATTCTTGCTTCTAGAGTCCCTGAAGTACATGGTGGCACCGTCATCACTCAAGCTCTCCTTCCATTCTTTGCATCCTTGATCCTTAATTTCTCTCACTGGGTCCTATTAGGTTTACCTTTTCAGTAGAGTAATGGTCATCTCTTTCTCAGTCCAAGATTCTATAATCCTTCCTTTAAATTACTGCAATTGCCTGCCAGTATTTTTCTGGATGCAGTTTCAACTCCCCCTCCTGAACAAACGATTTTCTAAACTGGATGTTTGATAATATTACGGTAAGCATAAAAATCCTTCACTAGCTCCTCATGTTACCAAAACTAAAGTTGAAATTTCTCACTACAGCATTTAAAATACTTCATGACTGCCCCCCCACCTGATTCTCGTATTTTACTTCCCAGTATCTTCCACACCACCACCCTTCTACCATGCATGATTCAACTGATATTATTCCTACATGGCATTATCATTTTAACTGCATCCTTTGTAGTAAACTTTGAACTCTCTGAACACAAAAACCATGTCTTACTTATATCTATGCCTTCACGGTCTGGAGCCCATGAGACATTTAATGAATGGTAGCTAATGATAGACACTGTCTAGAAAATAATTGTCTTTCTCAAAGCATTTTCCCCATGTTTAAATTAAAAATACCTTTCTAGGAAGATTATGATTTTCATCACATTATTTTAGCCATGAAGGTAGGTTTCCCAATTACTGGTACATCTCTTTCTTTCCTGTCAGAAAAATATGAAGGAGCCAGAAAGACTTCTAAGTTAAGAAAAACTTTACACCAAACAGACAAATAGCTCTAACATAGTATGCTAGCATCCTTTTAGGTCTCCCTGATGCATATTAGACTTTGACAGACTGACTGAAGGACAAAGTGTACGTACCTTCCACGCAGCGACAGCCCTCTTGTAGCACCCGTGCGTACATATCCACCTTGGACTGAGAAAGGAGCTGATCTCCAGTCAAGTATGTGTTGTGAGAGGAAGCGATGTAGTAGTTGCAGAGGGGCTGATCCATGTCCTGATACACTTCATGGTGCAGGGGGTTAAATACATCACAAGCAGGACTACGCATGAAGTTCGTGAAGCCTTGGAAGAATTAGAGAATTAAGTGCTATAGCTTTCAAAGTGTATCTACTTAATTAACACTAATAGAGACAAAGAGATCAAAGAATATTCATGGTGGTTATCAGCACAGCTTCTGTGGGCAAAATAAGAGGTAAAAATTTTGCTTAAAATCATAGAGAATATAAAAAAACTGAAATATGACTTTGGGGAGTAGCCATTTAAACACAACCTAGAGAAAAATTAAATGACTTCTTAAGAATTTTGGCTGGGTGTGGAAGTTTACTGCTGAGGCATTTATTAACTACTAAATTCAAGTTCAGAAAATGTAGTACAACTTAATGGGTGACCAATACTGTATCAGAATTGGTATGTTTATAACAACTGATCAAGCAAAATTGATAGCTCATTAAGTTAGTCAAAAGTATAGTCAATGCAATATAGTAGCATGTTAAAAATTAAATACTCTCTAAATTCAAGTTGACTGACTATGTAAAGGTTTGGGAAAATGCTGTTAATGGTCAGCACATTTTATGTTTCTGTTTCAAATCTTTGAGAATCAGTTGGCAAAATTAGATCTGTGAATATTTTCTGAGACTTAAGAATTTCTTTATGCCTATCTTTATGTCTGTAATTTAGAGACCATCTCTGGAGGTCCAACCAAGAAAAATATTCATTTCTTATTACAGAAAAGCCCTGAGTTAGTTCACTTTCTTTGTTTTAAAAATGATTTCTCATGATAGAAGATTTTAATTATTCTTTTGCTTGTATTTCCTTCTACCCATGGACATAAACACAAGATATTAAAATCCTTATTGATGCAGGCAGGGTGGCATGAGCTTACTCAGAGCACGGAGGGGCCAGCCTGGGCAGCACAGGCAGACTCTACCTCTTAAAAAAAATTTAAAAAGTGAAAAACACTTTATCCACACTGATCTTGGGAATAGGTGGAAAATGGAGGCCAACAATCAAAATGTTCAGACCAACGACAACTTTAGATGCTTTGGGGCAGGTGGTTTCCCCAGTGATCTTTGATTTAAGATTATCTGTTCTGCTTGGGACAGCCTCTTGCTGGGTTGCAGCCTGTATCTCCCTACATATTTTAAATGTACTGCATACAACTTATGCATGCATATAGCTATACTTACACTATTATTTATGGATTATATGCTAGGAACAAAATTCTGAGTGTACAACTGGGTAAATTATTTATTTTCTTCTAGCCTCACTCTCCTCAACTATAAAATGAGATAGCTGTGTTACGAGTTGTGATTCCAACAGCTTTTATAATGCTACCAGTTTTGTAGCAAAAACAAGTCAGTTGACATTTTGTTAAGAAATATGTTTACTTTCAAATCACTAAATTTTTAGATTACTTATTTCAGGGTCAAATTTCTCTTCATAAAATCACTAGGATGAAGCTATTTCCAAAGTTTAGTGATTTGAGAAAAATCCAAGTGTTTCTTGGTATCAGTTATACATAGTGATCATACACTGCCTGAAGTGAAACATGTTCACATGCATTGGAAATGTAAGACAAATGTCAACAATAGGGCACTGCTTCGAAAAACTTATTTGTCCTGTGGGTCTTACTAAACTGATTGTAATTCCATGACTATCTCTTGGTTTTCTAAAAATTTTACTGCAATAAAACTTAGACTGAATTAAAAAGTGGAAAAATTGGTTTAAAAACATGGACAATTTTACCTTCTATTCCAAGGACATTTTTCACCTTGTTTTCTTCTGAAACTTCAAACTTCTTTATGATGTCAAGACAATAGTCTGTTGTCACATTACTCATCTAAGTAAAACAGAACATGGGAAGAGTACCTGTAATTTCCTGAGACATGTTCTTCCCTGCTGTGAAGTCATGCACTGATTTTTACAGCATTCTTGGTATAGTGCAAAATGCTTAAATGAGCAGTTTGACATTATTAGTGTCAGTTCTTTTTACTCTTTGAAGAATCATTATGGTCTCAATCTACTATACATCTTTCAGATGTAATCAGTGAACATAGATCTTCAACTATTAGATGAATGTTTCCCAGGTAACAATAAAATAAAATCAATAATCAATGCAAATCCATTGCTAAGTATTCACTTGCTATATAGTTCTTATCTGGAAAATTAATGCCTTTTATATAAACATTGAAGCTTGCTAAATCATAAATATGTGTAGAATGTCACTATTCTCTCCCAAAACAGAATGTTTCTAGATAAATCTGGATAAATCCATCTAGAATATATATATATTCTAGATATATATATATATCTAGATATATATATTATATATATATATCTAGAATATATATATATTCTCCCTCTGAGCTGTCCACTATGGTGATTAAGGAACACAAAATTAGCAAGAGAAAATAAAAACAAAAAGTAGATAAAGTATCTGGTGTAACAAAGAACTCTGGGGCTAATATTGCTTGTGTTCAAATCAGCTAGCTCATTTTATTAACGAAGTGACTTTAAATAAGTCACTTACCTTCTCCATAGCTACCAGATAAAGTAGTGATGAGGATTAGGTGACTTTTAGAAACATAATGACAGCCCACAATGGCAGGATGTGTTATTATTATTACCAAGTCAAGGTCAAGATTGCTGTATGAACATTACATATTTAGCATCATGAGGAAAAGCAAACTCTTCAGGAATAATTTCTTTAAATAGTAGCATAAAGAATGTGAAGTTTTAGGGGCAGCAGATATAGTTCAGTGATTATATCTGAACTACAGTTAAGATATAGTTCAGAGCATTTTCCTAGTGTGCACAAGGACCTGAGTTTGATGCCCAGCACCATAAAAAGGGATATTTTGATTAAAAGTTCATCCAGCTTCACAATGTAACTCTGACATTTAAAAATACTAATGAATAATGATAGAGGAAGCTAATCTTCTGAGCTGGCATTTCATATTTCAATTACATTTCTCAAAGACTCCATTATCTCTTAAGTTCAATACTTACATTTCAGTGAAATCTAATTTTTTGTAGTGTATTTAATAACGTTTAAACTACTTACAGGGGGGAAAGCTATTATATGGCTGGGTTTTGACGGTTTAAAAGGGTATAAAATTTGTTTTTACCCTAAACTCATTGCACAGGAGCTGATACATCTTTTGAATAAAATTTATAATCTTTACCACATTACCAGACATTATTCAAAAAAAAACACAAATAAATGAAATTTGTAATACCTCCAAGGAACTCTGCTTACTCTGGCAGGATGTGAGCAGCTCATTACCTTGTCAGCTATACACTAGAGAGATTTAGTACACACAGTCCAAAAGAATTCCCCACAAAATAAAAACAGATAAACTGACAAGTTTAGGTGCCAGGGGAGATTGGATGCACTGTGTAATTATTCAGTGTACAAGGTCATTATCCAGAGATGTAGGGGCCATACATAAACTTAACTCAGGCTGACTCTAAGAAGCCCATGAAATCTCAAACACACAACCAAATGGTCATAAGGGGATAGAGGTAATTGCCAATAAACAAAGAATTTGTTACTAACTCAAGATTCAAAGCAAAATTTGATAACAAAAAGCATCATATTTGAAAAATATTCATTGAGTTAGTGAGACTATTAGTAGCCATTCTACAAAGTCCACAAGTTTCTAGATAATATATAAGAATTAATGGAAAAGAAATAATTTGCTTTCTACCAAAATGTGACTTTAGTGAAATAAAGAAAACCCCAAAATAACGAGAACAGAAACTTAACAGTCCATCAGCTGGAGATTGGAAAATGGCGGCGAGCTAGGGGATCGAGCGAAGAATCTCTCCAGAGAATTCAAACTCAAAGATAAAAAAAGACAGCATGGAGAGGACCAGACAAATCGATAGCGATTCTTATTAACCAAGACAGTACAACTGGAGGATTTAAAGTCGTGCTGAGACCGGAGGCTACAAATCCCGCGCCCTTAAATCAACAAACAGACTCGTGGACCCAGCACGAAAAGCTGAGTTGCTTTTGGAGACCGCGGGAAACTGAGACCCAGATCGAGACTCCAAGTAGCGGCCAGTTCTGCACCGCTGCACCAGAGCGGACGTACAAAGCTCTGGCGATTCAAATCTAAACGGTGCATAGAAATCTGACCGGTCAGCGCTGAGCCGCGAGTGGGGGAAAAGTGGACAGCTTGGTGTGCGGCGGTCCCGGAATGAGGACTTGCACCGGACTCTGGTGAGTACAGAAAACCCCGCCGCTGCTGGGTTTGACCAGAGAACAGCTGGCCCGCCACCACGGGGAAATCAATAACACAGAGTCTGGTGCAGACATATTAGCCTGGCGGCAGAAATCGCAGCTTGGTAACATCACCAGGTCCCCCTGTAGGGAGGGCTGGTGGAAGACATCTTGAGTCCTGGCAGAGCCTGATTACTTGTTGGCTTCAGCTCCACACAGAGAACTTAGTGGGAGCCATCTTTGTTTTGGGCAGATCTGCTTTTCTGGTGCACCTATCACAGAGAGGTTTTGAAGAGAACGGCTGGGACCTGGGCAGAATCCTGTGCCATTACTCAGCTGCTTCTGATTCAAAGAGAACTGGCAGGAGCTTCTGGGGCTAAACCAAGCCTCTGCTTGGGGCCCAATAAGCAGATACAAAATAGTCACAACTCAGTGACAACCAGAAAGTACAGCCTAATTTATGAACTAACTGACACAGAGGCTAGAGACTAGACTGTACCGCCCCTACATCCCAGCCTACCCCAGATAACAGCAAATTGGGGAGGACAGCAAAAACTCAAGCCAGCACGCTTCTGAAAGGCCCTAAGCAATTCGGAGAGGGCCAGAGAACTCCAGGACAGTCTGAAAGAAACCAGAAACATGACAAGAGATAAAAATAAAAAAAACCCTCCAGCTGTTCAACAGGAGAAATTAAACCCAAGAGAACTAAACACTGAAGAGAACAAGCACAGTAACCATCCTCTACTTGACACAGCATCAGCCGAAATTAAAAAGTACTTACATGATCTCATAGAGGAATTTAAAGATGTACTCCTGATCCAAGTGAGGCAAGATATAAAGAGATTAATTAAAGAAATGACAAGCCCCGCCCAAGAGAACACAGATGGAAAAACTGAGGAAATCAGAAAAGAAAGAGAAGCATCTGAAGAAGAATTTAAGCATAACTTAGAATGCATGAAACAGATCCAAAGAGAATATCAGGAAACTCAGAACTCCATTGAATATTGGCAAAATGCCTTGACAGAAACTAAAGACAACCTTCTGAAACTTGAAGAGAGATTTAGGGCTTATGAACGTGAAAGAAAAAGCCTCTTAAAAATAACAAGGAACCAGAAAGAAGCAATTCTAAAACTGGAAGATGATAAAAAGATACATAACCTAAGAATAAAGAATGTGAGTGAGGAAGCAGGAACATCCAAAAATGAAATACAAAAAATATTCACAGAGATATTAAAGCAAAATTTCCCACGTATAGCAAAAAGAAATGATATCCAGATAAAAGAAGCATACAGAATGCCAGCTACCTACAACCAAAACAGATCTACGCCTAGGCATATAATAATCGAGATCCCAGAAATCCACCAAAAAAACAGAATATTACAAGCAGCCAGAGAAAGGATGCAGGTTACCTATAACGGGAAATCTATCAAAATAACAGCAGACTTATCAACACAAACTCTTAAGTCAAGAAGGGAGTGGGGAGAAATATTCCAAGTCCTGAAGGAAAAAAATATGCAACCTAAGTTCATATATCCGTCAAAACTCTCTCTAAAAATTAATGAAGAAATAAGATACTTTCAAGACAAGGAGGAACTGTGGGAGTTCGTGGCCACCAATCCAACCCTACAGAGAGTGCTGAAGGACATTACAGAGAAAGAGAGGAAGAGATATCAGGATTACAGCTACAGTGGCAGAGAAGCCTCAGTGAACGGGGCAGACCATGGAATGAGGGAATAAGGTGGACAAATTATAGCAGAAAAGTGGAGTAGCAGACATGAGGCAGAGACGGTAAGCTAGTCTTTAGTAGAGACAGCTCTGAAACTATATTTAAAAAAAAAAAAAAAGCAGAGGTCATTGCTAATGGTGTATAACGATTTAAAAGACACAGTAGTCCTAGTGACATATTTAGATTGAATTAAATTTGTTCTGGTCTGTCCACTCATATCAGATTTGAGGACACAGACCTCTAGAACCAAAAATAGCAGGTTATACCACGGCAACTATCCTTACTTTCCTATTGACTTAGGCTGAAATCCTGTATTACTTACATTGTCTTACTATGACTGATCTTAATTGTATCTGAATCATAAGACTATTGGTTGGCCTTGACTGATCCTATTTGAAATCGGTATGCGTGTTAGAATCAACCCTAAAAGTAGAGGAAACTACTCTGAGCATGACAAGATGTAAAGGATATCCATACTGGTATGAATCAGTAACAGCTCTCAAATACTACAATGCAGTCAAAGATAAGTTTTTATAAAAATAGGTGATAGTATGTTTAACTATAATAAGCCAGTGTTGTCGACAAATCTATTGAAAATAACAAGAGAAAACATAGTAGCTACGGATGATCATTTATATTATAGTTTTATAAGTCCTATCCATTGCATGATTATCTAGGAAATTGTTTCGTTGTCTTGTTATGACTTGGTTTTCCCTATAATACAGAGAGGATAGGAACAAATACTCTGAGAAAGAGACCTGAAAAACCCGAGGCTTATTTTGTAGCATTATAATATAAATTCTAGCAATCTATTGCTTGCTGATTAAAATGACTCTGGACTGGTTTCTTCAGCTCAACTTCAGCATATGCAGAGATGGGGACGGCT